AATTTGGTTGTGGTTGAAGCGATGTAGGTGAGGCTAGGTAGTATGGTGGAGTGCAATTGAACTATTGCCTAGTTAGGAGTTTAGATAGGTCATTTACCCCATCTTCGAAATGAAGTTCTTAAACTTCACTACCTTCATGCTATTGTGGTGTTGGTTTCCATAAATTACCTAAAAACTTGCAATCATATTCGAAAACCAATGTTTCTATTGTTTTGGAGAAAACATTACCAAATGAGAACAAGAACACGCACATGGAAAATGTGTGCAAGGCAAAAAAAACTGAGAAAACATGATGCATTTTTAGAGGAATCAACCACTAACGGGTGGTTCAAGCATTTGTCATTTGTATGTTATACCTATCCCCTTGGTCGAATTACCAGTGATGGGAAAGATGTTACCCACACCCTACATGTCACTGCTAACATGCTCTATTGATGGGTTGCATTGTGGCCATCACTAGTGACTAGTCATGGGAGGGTGTTTCTGCAGTAGTGAATATTTCATTCCTAGAAGCCCCCTTTAACCACTAATAAATTGATGTTTTCATTTAAGATTGGTCCATTTGTCAACGTCCAAGTCTAATGACATTAACAAAGATTTTTTTGAAGAAATGCAAGAATATTATCAAAAAAAGTTGGCTCGATGTTGTTCGCATAACCGCCATCCGAAGTAGGTACCGTTACTCATATGGATCATAACTTTGTGCAGTTAGAACTCAATACTATTATTTCTTATATTTTATTTACATGAAAATGGCGTTTTTTAATCAAAATGACATTTCTTCAAGAATGAGGTAGAGTAAAGCCCCTAAGCTAATTTTGTTTTATGAAAAATAAGAACCCAAATTTGCATGTGTTAGGACTGGAAACTAGGTGGTTGGGTGTACATCTTATGAGAATGACGTTTACTTTATGTAGTTGCTTTCCATACATGTACAATGATAATATCTGATTGTCATACCAATCTGATGAATGCTTTCGATTGAATACAAGATAAACATTGAATCATCTACTTTATATAGATAGTGAGTTTCACAACAAACAAGTCGGTTGGATTGCATAGAATGCAGAAAGAAATCAACTTTTGCCTCGAGAAAAAACAATTGGTAGAACATGACAGGAATATATTAGGTACAAAAAGGGAAGTTAACAAAGATGTCTCACACCATATGATAAGTCTACGTGGCACGTACTTGGATTGCAAACCCATATAGAAAACAGTGTGAGTGAGGGCCTCTTTTCACGTTTGTTTGAGAGTCTGTTGGTTTAGGTTATTATGTTTCGTGTTGGTAGAATCTAAGATGTCACTTTATTGTCTACCTTAGAGTCTCTTGGACAAATGAATCTAAACCCATGATTTATCAAAGATAACACCTCATAGAGATTGACCTAAGATTTTACCCCTAGCGGTTGACCTAGTTGAGAAATGGTGAAATTTAATGCCTCTCAAGTCTCATTATGAATATAAAAGCTTATAAATTTGTAAAATAATAATGATGTCAACATGTAATCAAAGTATAATGTATAGAAACATTATTATGATAAAAGTATCACAACAAACATGATGGTTCCAGAGAATTTTAAATCACATGTTTGGTTCAAAGGTCATCGATTTCTAAATTCCTGCAATCAGGTATCTACAACAATGAAGTCATAAATAATGGACATCGAAAAATGACATAATGAACAATTCCAAGATTCCATTTTGGCATAATTGCATGAATAATATGTCCATATAACACAATGGTGAATGTGCTTGTCTTCCTAGAATGGGTATGCACTACGCATCCCACAAGTAAAAATGGTCCAAGCGTACTTTTCCAGTACATGAAAAGATTTAGTCAAAAAAGGAAAATATAATTCTAAAAGTATTGTTAGCTATAACTATGAATTTCTAATTGAGTAACTACCCATGATTTACATGTCCAATCATGTCATGGAGAGTGGTTTGATGCCATGGATATGTATGTTGAAGAACAATACAATTGAGAAGTAGAGGAAGTGAAGAAGCCATTTATGTAGCTACCAAAGAGCATAATGTTGGTATAATTGGATATTTACAAGAAATTTAAATATTTTCCAGTGATAAAGGCAATCTTGTGGTAAAGGTTGTAGAATTGGATATCTAAAACTGTTTTGACGACAAAGAGATATATAAACAAATTTCTCTCTCTCTCTCTATATATATATATATATATATAAAGAGAGAGAGAGAGATAATGTCTAATATTGAACACTACCCGGGACATGAATATCACCACCACCCACTGACGGTCGGGAGATCTATGCTAGGCGTGAGCAAACAGAGGGAGGGATAAGATATTCATATCTGTGGCAAGAGAGGGCTCCACACCCTTCCGCGCAGCGACCATATAGCTAGACTGACCCACCCACCCCTCTCTCTCATTCTCTCCGCCCACTATGCTCCCTCTCTCTCCCTCCCTCTCACTCTTGTGCTATCTCCTCCTAGGCCCGATCTGAATCCAAATCGAGATCCAGACCGGAGCTCACCGCTACCGCCTCATCACCCACGTCGGCATCTATAGCCATACAACACCCCTTCCCATGGCATGCCCGCCTCTCCTCGCCTTCGAGCTCCAGCCCCCTTGCTACCCAATCAACGTGCCACCAGGCTCCTCGCCAACCATTACCTCCCACCTACTCCCCCATAATAGCCGAATCTGGCATGGCCTCCCTAGCCGATGACCTGACATCTTCCTCGAATCCGCACTCCTCTCTTGTGCGGGATCAGGAGGATCCACCATGATAGCTGGTGTTGCTCGTGTGGGTCACCGGTGTTGACCCTCATTTTTTTGTTTGGTCATGAAGGTGACTGAATCCACCTCCACGACCACAACCAGATCCACCTCTGGTAACCATGTGATGCAAGGGAAAGCTCCATATCGACCAAGTCGTGTACCACCATGGCCACCATCGCCAGATCTATGGATGCGCACCACCTCCTCATCGATGGCCATGCGTGATGGTCGTGGTGGTCGACGAGGGCGTCATCCATGACCGCGCATGTCCCATCCCGGCCTTCCTCCTCGACGACCTCAACCTCGTCCTCCTAATTGTTGGTGCTCTTAGTGGTGGGGATGAACTCCACCTCGTCCTCCTCTACACCGACCCGTACGCCCTGTCCTCTGCCAGCCTTGTGGTATCCTCTCTCTCTCTCTCTCTCTCTCTCTCTCCTTGATTGTGGAGGATTGTTTTCATGTTTGCATGTGAATGGATGGATCTGAAACATAGTTGTCTTGTAATGAATTTGGATTTGTCACTTAACCTATGTAGAGCACTAAGTGGGATCTCTATAACTGTAATCATAATACCTCCTACAAAGTGCACACTTTTACTAATGCACTTTGTTATTAGGAACTTAGTAATTTTATAGAAATTTTGAGTTTGAAAGTGCAAACTTTTGATTAAATAGACACAGATATCCTATGAAAGTGCGCACTTTTGAATTTTTCATACAAGGATCCTGTGAATGTGCACACTTTTGAATTGTCAATACGTAGATCCTATGAAAATGCTCACTTTTGAGTTGTTCATACACAGATCCTACAAAAGTGGGCACTTTTATATTTCTCATACACAGAGCTTATGTTAGTTTGCACTTTTTAATTGTTCATACACAGATCCTGTGAAGTTGAGAATACCCTTTTAGTCTGAATTTAGCACATTTTTGTATTTTTTGTCACTTTTTTGTGTTGGGGTAATTTTTCACTTGGTCGTATTTTGGCACCTCGTCATTAGGTATGTTGCACTTTGTAATATAAGATTTTTGGCACTTTTTAATATGACATTTTTGGTACATTTTAATTATCTGTCTCGTTGGCACATTTGGACATTTTGTAATTTGAGATATTTGACACTTACTAATAAAATTGGAACATTATATATCATATTGGCACTTTTAATTATTTCCTAATAGTTGATTAACCATTGTTTTTTATTAATAACTTATGTGATAACTAATAGTTAATTAGTTTTTAAATTATGTGTTAGTATTTGAATTTAAATTCACGCAAGTTGTATGGATCTCCCTTCAAAAGGAAATCTACCACACTTGAGTATGCATTGAAACAAGTGTGCACAGTCTGTAGGGTGTGCCCTTTGTGAGAGAGAAGATTACACATGTTTTAATAGAATTTCACATTAATGGACTCATCTAATATTAAATTATGACATTATCAGGAAGACCTGGAATTTATTCATTGATATTCATACAATATCTATGAGATATGAGATACAAATTTGTCTCATAATTAAAGAGATCTTCTAGGATCTTTATATCTAAATTTGTTCTTGCCATTAGTTTTCATATAACTTTCCAACGCAGTTTCTTTTGTTGAACGCAAAAAATCATCATTTATGATGATACAAGAGAGCACACGTCTTCCTAAACAAGAGATCATAAACTAACATCACTTGTTTAGGAACATGTGTGCTCTCTTGTATCATCATAAATGATGATTTTTTGTGTTCAACAAAACAAACTACGTTGGAAAGTTATATGAAAACTAATGGCAAGATCAAATTTAGATATAAATATCCTAGAAGATCTCTTTAATTATGAGACAAATTGGTATCTAATATCTCATAGATATTGTATGAATATCAATCAATAAATTCCAGGTCTTCCTGATAATGTCATAATTTAATATTAGATGAGTCTATTAATGTGAAATTCTGTTAAAACATGTGTAAAGATCGAATTTCTCATTGAGAGATCCTAGAATATCTCGTTAATTATTATACAAATTTATATCGGATATCTCCTACACATTGTATAAATAACAATGATTAATATCTAGATATTCTAGATTATGTAATCATTCAATATTACATGGGGCCATGCATGGATCTACTTATGTAAGATCACTATAAATATATTGACCTATGCAATAATCCTCATAAGCTTCAAGCACTATCATAGCATAAGCATCTCTCTTCTCCATAGCTTCTTCTACAAAAAATTCGATCTTGCTAGTAGTTATGGATCCTAATGGCTCCTACCCTAACAAAGTTAGATCTAGCAAAAGTGATGCCTACATTTCTCCCTTGCATGAAGCATTGAGAGGAACAAGAGCCATGCCAGTGTTAAATGATATTTTGGCCCTTGAGTCACTACCATCAGATTCACCTTCCATGGCAAACTCCTCACTTGCATCCGATGCACCACCTGAACCTACCATGATGCCATTCAATGCTAGTTACATGATGCCACACCAAGAGAATGTAGGCCTAGCACCACTACCACCACAATTGTCTAATACAATTATTAATCCTTTATCCATGGTTAATACAATAGTGTCCCAGCCCAACAATGAGGAAATCCATCAAGATGAACATGAAATGTTCAGGTATGAAGACTTCCTTTCAAACCCTTTGTGGAATTACGCCGACTCCTATCATCATACCAATACCACATCCATGGAGTCTCCATCTTTCACATCCTTACTCCAAACATACCCAAATTCTATTGTTAATACCCACCTTAATACTACTGGAGCATTGGAGGATGGTTCAATATCTAACATGCCTACCATGCATGTCTCCGAGGTAAACTCGCTAACATATGGATTTCTTTACTCTCCTAAAAATATTTACCCATTTACACCGAATAATATATTGCAACAACAGAATATACAAAATGGAAGGCTACTATATGACGCTTCTTATGGTGTACCTACCCCTATTTCTCCATCCATGACAACCTCCTATGTACCAAGAGAAGATAACACCCCTCTAGTTGGTCCAAATGGCATTTTTGGTGGTGCTATTTTGCATGATTCTACATCCTTGGGTAATTACACATGCAAGATTTGTGGTCGCAAATTCGTCACATCTCAAGCCTACGGTGGTCACATGAGTTCCCATGCCAAAGAAAGGAAGAAACACCTACAAATTTGATCTCCCATGTACTTGGACATCCCATGGTTACCATTCTCGGGACAAATAATTCTACTAGCGCCAAAGTGGTTGAAGACCGAGAGTTTCTAGCTCAAGTGTAGAAATTTTAATAGATTTACTTGTTTTTGTATACAAAAATATCAATGGAGTATGTTGTGAGGGTGTGAAACAATAGAACCGTCTTTGTTTGAGTGGTATGTGTTGTTGTTTCCATGTTTAACTAATAGAGTCATATTTAATGGTTGTGTACCATGTTATTATCTTCCATATTAATATATGAAGGATCAAAGATTTTTAATGAAGATTTTCTAGAGCTAGTTAAGATGTTTGTTTCTACCATTTTTCATAAATTTCTTCGAAGTACAATAACATTTTCCAAATAATGTGCCATATAAAGTGCAAAACCATCTAAACCATTTTATTTAACGAGTAGTATCATCATTGGCAAAAGTCTTGCTATGACATGGATGCTGAATTGTGATTACCACCTAGCAAATTAAATACTCTAAACAATTTTTTCTTTGAACTAGCACATAAATTGCACATTGCTAGACATAAAAAATATGAAAGAACAATAATAAAAGTAATACATGCTTCTTCTATATACCTTGTTCATTGATTAAAAAAAGGAACATTATGCTTAACCAAAAAAATTATCATCCAAATCCCTAAGGAGCCTATGTAGACAAATACGTACCCGATTACTTATTGTGAAACCATAGGAGAAACAAACTATGAGTAAGAATTATTTTATGTTGGCAAGGTGGTTTATAGGTCATTGGCTATGTGAACAATCACCACACTATTGATTCTTCAAGAAAATGTTAGCAATGCTTTTCTTTTATGTTGCTCTATATATGTACTAAGAGAAAACATCTCACCTTAGGTTGCTTGTGTTCACTTTTTCGTATAAGAAATAGAAAATTTCTCAAGCTCGTGTTCTCAATCCAAACGCAAAGGATCCTTGAAATTTCCATTTCTATGATATTTCATGATAACCAAAAATCCAATAAGTATCACTTAAACAATATGCGAAAAAGTTATTCAAAAATACTTGAAAGTTTTATAAAAATTCAAAAATAACTTTGTATATAAAGTGAGAAACCATCTTAATTATTTTCTTAATGATTCATTGCATAACTATCGATTATTTAGAATTTTTTCAAAAGAGCTAGCATATAAATTGTATATGGTAACACATGAACAATCTTGAATAAATAAGATATATGATAAAAATAATAAATTATTTTTCAATATATGTTCCATAAGAATGAAAGAAAGAAAAAAGATGCTCAATAACCAGGCTCAATCCCTAAAAGCCCTAGGGAGCGTTTGTGAAAAACTAGATACCTTGTTAACTATTGTTGTAAGTGCATCTAGTGCCCCTTAGTGATTTTGGTCTATTGAAGACTTATATGTTAAGGGAATAATATGTTTGTGAGTGTACATGGGCTCTATAAGTCGATGAGGAGTTTGATATTTATGATGAAAGTCGACACCTAAAAATGTATGTCTTCAACTGAAGACTTTGGTTCTCCTGAAGATTTTGATAGTGATGAAATTGGTGTGACCTTGAAAGACTTGGATATTCATGTGAGGATTATGAAGCGTGAAGACTTTTGTTTTCGTAGTTTCATTTTCTCTTTCTTGAGTCATAGGAAACACCGTACTGTTAAAGGGGGTCGAGGTAATACTAAGGAAAGTGATTTCCAAGTGATGCTCATCTCAAAATCCTACACCTAACCAATCCTTTCGAGTGAAGCCATTGGAAATCTCATATCAGTTTAGTTAATTTCTTCAGTGACAGAGATGAAGATCTTCTGCTCTCTGAGGAATTTGTTCTGACTGGGGAGTTAGGAATTCGCCAATGCGGATTGCCTACACAGTGAGGAAGATGATAGCCCCAAGGAATTTGAACCTCAAATATCCGACCGTTGTTGTGCTACGCGCCAGCTTCCCAAAATATCTACCCACCTAACGGTCATATCATTGAAGGGCATTTATGTCTTATCATGTCGGGTTGCTCCCTAGGCTATAAATAGCTGCCCCCTACAACCACTAGCTGGTTGGCTGCTCCAAGAGAAACTGACACTTGTCATTGAGAGCATCCCATCCTCCAAGGACTTTGAGCAAAAATCATCAAGTGAGGAAAACTCAAACCCAAACACCTACAAACCCAAAGTGATTGAGCATCACTGAAGAGATTGTTCCTGTGTGGAATCGACGCTTGTTACCTTTGAGGACTGTGTATCCTCTAGACGGTTAGGCGTCATGGTCGGAGCATCTAAGAGGAATTGTGGATCGCCGAGTGACCATGTCTGTGAAGGTTTGGAAGTCACCTGAAGACTTACCACGAGTGATTGGGCGAGGTCTGTGTGACTTTAGCTCAAGGAGAATACGGTAAGGAATGTGTGTCCGAGACTGTGTGTCCTCGAGTTTAAATACCCAGCCCCTCCACCCAGACGTACAACTGTCACACCAGTTGGAACTGGTCTACCAAATCATTGTCTTCACCAAGCCAACTGGTTCTATTTCCTCAACCCTTTCATTTCCTCATTCAAGTGTTGATGAACCTCATCATTACTGTTTGAAGACTTTGACTGAAGACTTTCTCTATTTCCTCTATCCTAATTCTTCAGTCACATAGTTTTCAGCCTGCTTATGCTGTTTTCACGCTATCTATACTCTGTGCTTGTTTTCCTTTCATCATGATGACTATGTTGTTGCTTTGTCACGCTTATACCTGAGTTCTTATCCCGCTGCTAGTGTGTCGTTGCTTAGGAAATTCTTCACCTAGAAATTCCTCAGTGACGAATTATTAAAAAATCGCCTATTCACCCCCTCTAGTCAATATAACGCACTTTCAATTGCTATCAGAGCAAGGTACTCCCTTGTTCTGTGTGATTTTTGTTTAACCACCTGGAGTTTTAGTTATGTCGACTGCAGGAATGATTAAGGTCTCGGTCGGGTGTCCTACCTTCGATGGGATAGACTACCCCTACTAGAAGAACAAGATGCGCATGCATCTTGAGGCAATTGATAATGATGTCTGGTATGTTGTGGAAACTGGTGTTCCCTCTGTCACTCCGTTTGTGAATGCTGCTGATATGAAGAGATTCATGCAACTCAACTCTCAAAAGAAGAATATCATATGTGGTCATCTGAGCAAAGGACAATAGAGCAAAGTGAGTGCTTTGGAAACAACATAGCTGATTTGGGATAGGTTCTACAAGGCCAACGAAGTTGTCTCCACTCAATGTGACTCTCGAGTTGATGTTCTTCGCAATCTCTTCAACCGCTTCAAAAGACTCGACAACAAAAATGTTTAGCAAACCTTCGATCGCCTCACTGACATCTCAAATGAGCTTCAAGCACTTGGTGCCACTGACATAAAAACACCGACCATGAGGTGGTGAACAACTTGTTGAGATCACTTGATTCCTCATTCGAAACTCTTGCACTGATGATTCAAGAGCGAGGAGACTACAAGTCACTAGATCTTGCTGATATCCTCGCAAGGCTAAATACTCATGAGTTCCAGCTTGCTGAGAAGAGAGACCTCTATGGGTCGAGCGTGTTGGGCACGTAGCAGAAATTCAAAATTTTCCTACGAGTCACCAAGATCCATCTATGGAGAAACCAACAACGAGGGGAAGGAGAGTGCATCTACATACCCTTGTAGATTGCTAAGCGGAAGCGTTCAAGAGAACGGGGTTGAAGGAGTCATACTCGTCCTGATCCAAATCACCGGAGATCCTAGTGCCGAACGGACGGCACCTCCACGTTCAACACACGTACAGACCGGTGACATCTCCCGTGCCTTGATCCAGCAAGGAGAGAGGGAGAGGTTGAGGAAGACTCCATCCAGCAGCAGCACAACGGCGTGGTGGTGGTGGAGGAGCGTGGCAATCCTGCAGGGCTTCGCCAAGCACCGCGGGAGAGGAGGAGGACTTGGGAGAGGGGGAGGGCTGCGCCAGAACTTGGGTGCGGCTGCCCTCCCACCCCCCACATATATATAGGGGCAAACGAGAGGGGGCCGGCCCCCTCAGATCCAATCTGAGGAGGGGGCAGCGGCCAGGGGGGTTGCCTTGCCCCCCAAGGCAAGGGGGGCGCCCCCCTTTAGGGTTTCCCCCCAAGCCATAGGAGCCTTGGGCCTTGGTGGGGGGCGCACCAGCCCACCTGGGGCTGGTACCCTCCCACACTTGTCCCGTGCAGCCCTCTGAGGCCGGTGGCCCCACTTGGTGGACCCCCGGGACCCTCCCGGTGGTCCTGGTACATTACCGATAGCACCCGGAACTTTTCCAGTGACCAAAACAAGACTTCCCATATATAAATCTTTACCTCCGGACCATTCGGGAACTCCTCGTGATATCCGGGATCTCATCCGAGACTCCGAACAACATTTGTTAACCACATACAAACTTCCTTTATAACCCTAGCGTCATTGAACCTTAAGTGTGTAGACCCTACGGGTTCGGGAACCATGCAGACATGACCTAGACGTTCTCCGGCCAATAACCAACAGTGGGATCTAGATACCCATGTTGGCTCCCACATGTTCCACGATGATCTCATCGGATGAACAACGATATCAAGGACTCAATCAATCCCGTATACAATTCCCTTTGTCCAGCGGTATTGTACTTGCCCGAGATTCGATCGTCGGTATACCGATACCTTGTTCAATCTCGTTACCGGCAAGTCTCTTTACTCGTTCCGTAACACATCATCTCGTGATCAACCCCTTGGTCACATTGTGAACATTATGATGATGTCCTACCGAGTGGGCCCAGAGATACCTCTCCATTACACGGAGTGACAAATCCCAGTCTCGATTCGTGCCAACCCAACAGACATTTTCGGAGATACCTGTAGTGCACCTTTATAGCCACCCAGTTATGTTGTGACGTTTGGTACAACCAAAGCATTCCTATGGTATCCGGGAGTTGCACAATCTCATGGTCTAAGGAAATGATACTTGGCATTAGAAAAGCTTTAGC